TTTAATAATAGGATCAGTCAGTTATAAATCCATGCAAAGGTGTTTAATCCATCATGGTTTTCTGGAGTATGACTGGGCTGGCTTGGTTTAGTTCAGAGACAAATCTTTTACACTGGTTACTAACAATACAAGACTCTACTGAACAACATGAACAGCACAGACTTACACATTACACCTATACACCCTTATGCACATACAGCCTGTTTACATCGTTTGCATGCTTTTTGCTCTTTCATAGATAAACTATCTTTGTTTGAACTCATTCTTATTTAGATAATATTTTCTTTTAATAGGTAATATGTGGTTGAAATGTAGATATAGATTTGTATGTTATCTATATGTGTTTATCATGTGTGATTAAGTTTTTCATTTAAGGATTCATATGTATGTATGCATGTAGGTATGTTTTTTTTTTGTTTTTCCAAAGATGTTCGATGAAAAAAACTAGACGAATAAGAGTTTTTGGAGCACTTAGGAACAGTAACAGAAAAAGGATGAGACTTAATTGAATGACGAGTAACACGAGAATGAATTTTAGTAGATGCCACAAGAGACGCTAGCTTTTTAGAGCAGTGCCCATTATAGTATTTGTAGAAAAGAGAAAGAAAAGCAACATTACGACGATGTGACAAAGGTTGAAGGTTGGCTGCAAGAGCAGGTCCAACTATGTTTACAATGTGTTTTTGCACCTTGTCTAAAAGAGAAAGGGCATCATTAGAAGATCCGCCCCTAATATGGCAACAGTATTCCATACAAGGCCAGATTTGAGATTTATAGAGATAGAGAATAGAACCCAGAGTAAGAAAGTAAAGAGAAGCAACTTTAGCAGATGCTAATTTTGCAACGGATTTGATATAAGGTTTCCAAGAAAGATCAGAAGTAAGAGTTAATCCTAGAAGATGAAGGGTAGGAGACTCATCGAGTACATTACCGTTCATAAATATAGGAAGGTCTAAATTATTGCGATAACAATTGGCCAAAAAAAATTGAGTTTTATCTGAATTCAAGTTCACCAGCCACTGCGAGCCCCATTCTGTAGCAGAAGTGAGATCCTTATCAAGCTCAGATGCCCCCTGCAAGCAATCAGAGGGAGTTGGCTTCTTATCGTGACAAGAATAAATGGTAGTATCATCAGCGAACAATGCCACCTTAGATGTGAGAATATCTGGAAGATCGCTAATGTAAATTAAAAAGAGTATAGGGCCAAGGATTGAACCTTGGGGAACCCCTGAGGTTACAGAATAAGAAGTAGAGTGCTGTCCATCAAGGACAACTTTTATACTACGATTGGAAAGGAAGGATTCAATAATCTTAAAGATGTTTCCAGATACACCATAAGAAGAAAGCTTATGGAGGAGACCAGCATGCCAAACTTTATCAAACGCTTTAGAAATGTCAAGAGCAATGGCCTTAACCTCTCCACCTTTATCTAATGCACGATAAAACCTATTGGTTATTACTGATAGCAAATCAGCCGTAGAACGAGAAGATCGAAATCCATACTGATGATCAGAAAGTAGGTTATGAGATTCGATTTCGAGATTAAGTGTTTTTTAATTAAAGATTCAAAAACCTTGCTTATGATAGGAAGAAGACTAATGGGACGGTAGTTAGATGAGTCAGATTGCTCTCCAGAATTTTTAAAAATAGGGATAACAGATGCTGCTTTCCAGCAGGCTGGAAAACAAGACTCTGATAAGCACTTGTTGAATAGTTTTGAAAAGATAGACGACAGCTCAGGAGAACACTTCTGCAAGACTATAACAGGTATGTTGTCCGGGCCGCAAGCTGTAGAAGAGTCTAAGCGGGAAATCACTTTAGATACAGAAGCTGGAGTGATACGAATGTCGAGCAATAGATCAACCTGTTTGACGGGTATATCAGGTAAAACGCAACTAGTGGCATCAAGAGATGATATTGATGAAAAGTTCTTGGCAAACAATTCAGCTTTGTCTTTAGGTGAGGTGATAAAGTCTGAACCGTACAAAAGAGGTGGAATTACAGACTTGCCCTTATTATTGATACTATTAAAGATTCTCCAGAAGTCACGAGAGCCTAATTTTTGTGATGAAATACGAGATTTCATGATCTGAGAATAGCGGGTTTTGGCATTAGACAAAACCTTGTTACAATGGTTCCTAGCAGTAATAAAGAGACGTCTGTTTTCTGGAGAATTGTTTTGCTGATAGATATGGAAGTAATGGTTTCGATTGGCAATTGCAGCAGCACAATGTGAGGAAAACCATGGAGAAGAGTGAGGCTTGACCTGGAATCGTTGAGAGGGAATAAAGGATTCCGTGCCAGCCTGAATCCACGAAGTTATGTAAGAAGCACATTTGTCAACAGTATGTATGTATGTATGTATATATATATATATATACATATATATATATATATATCTATATATATATCTATATATATATATATATATATATATATATATATATATATATATATATAAAAATATAAGAGTGATTCTCATAAACTAGCGGCTTTTGACATGTTTTGATGATGTATGTTTTTCCTTGTTATTTTGTTATGGTCTCAAAACAACATTTAATTTGGACCGTAGAGAAAACTTTACTTTTTGGAAAATTCGATTTAGATATGGTCTCAAAGTTACTTTTTAATTTGAACCGTAGAGAAACCTTTACTTTTCGGAAATTTCGATTTAGATATGGTCTCAAAATTTCTTTTAGTTTGGACCGTAGAGAAAACTTCACTTTTTAACAATTTAGTTTCCCGCTTTGTACATCGCATCATTTTTATACCACAACTTATATCATTGTTATATTATCCACAACTAATTTTTTAACCACTCATTTGGCTTAAAATTATCTGGTTTTATTACAATATTTAGTTAGTCTTATTGCAATATATATTATTTATCTCCTGATTTTCATATTATTACTGTTTACAAGAAACTTTCATGTTATATTATCTTGCATTCATTACTCAGCTTTGTTTTAATTTTCACATGCACATTTTTCATCTTTATTATTATTCAGAGAATATTTTTATATCCTTCATTAAATGTTTACATATATGCCGCTTACATTTTTAAGGTTTTTGTGCAATGTTCTTTTTTGCTATCATATATTATTCAATTATTGTTATGATTTTGGATTTCGCGGGTTGCTCATTTTCCTACTCTTTTGATTGGTTGTCATATTTCGAATGAGGTATCTATGACAGCGTTAGAGTTTATTTTAAGGCTGTTGTTGTTTTGTTGATTTAAAAAAAATTTTTAATGAGGTATACTGCTTTCTGATTGATTATCTTAGGCTTGTTTATGCTAACAATACCTATTTGGTTTTATTTCTAAATAAATTTATGAATTTTGTTATGTTTCTATTAGAATTTTAATTTATTTTGTTTTCATGTTTTCTTTTGGTGGTATGGTAAGTGTTTTATTTATTTTTATTTTTGTTTGTTCAGTAAATCTACACTTTTTATATCATATCATCAAAAAAATATTGGTACTTTACAAATTTGGGGTTGGTTGGGTTTTGGCCATTTGTAGTGAGTCCTTTTTTACTGCAGTATGGAATAGGCGTAAGTCGCGGTGTAAAGCATGTGGCGATGACGTTTGTCTGACGGGATAAACTAGTTATAAATGCTGATCCTCATCGAAACGTCAGTAATAATAGATGCGACTCTGAGGAGATGTTTATTACTTAATCACTACACTAATTATGTTTACACATTAGCATTAATGTTTTTTTCTTCCATTATTTGGCCTTTCATTGTTGTTAGCATATTTTTTATTTTGTGATCGGTTTTTTGTTTTATAAGTTTTTGTCTGGTGATGTATTTGTTGTATATCTTCGTTCATATTGGTGTTTATAAAACAATTTTTTATTTTTATTTATTTATTTTATTGTTATTATTGTTGAGTACTGTTTTGGGTGTATAGCCTGTCTTATTTATTTTTAAATATTCCTCTATTAATCTTTACTTTTGTCTTGACAACTGTCAAAATATGCTTCGTCTAATAAATAACTCTCCTTTATTCTAATGTACTTCATTTCTTCCCTCAGGTGTTCACTGCTCGTGTGTGACCATTCGGCAAATTTTATATGCCAAAGTTTTTAAATAATATTTCATTTTTACTGGAGGGCATTAAATGGCTTTTAAAGTAATATAGTGATTTATGTTCAATGAAAATCTCCACAGAAGAGAACCAATGATCTACTTCTAATTATTATTAAAATCTACTTCTAATTATCATTTAAATTCTGCTCGACGTCCTTTATGGATGAATCCTTACACCATCATGTAAAAAATTGTGTCATCAAAAGAAATGTTTTAAAAATAGAAAAATTAAACGTTTTAAAAATAGTAAACACGAGCTCTTAAATTTCATATTTCAAACTTATTGCAAGTTTAATTTTATAATTTTTATCAATTTTCCCTATAAATAAATCACATAGTGAAATAAAATTACAATTACAAAATCTGAGCAAAAACAACAACAGATGTCATTTAATTACTAAAGAATATCGATCGCAAGCAATTGCATGCAAATGTGGGACAGAAGAAAACCAATAATTGTTTTTTCATTCATTATCATAAAATGTTATTATGACTATGGTTTGTTCAAACATTTAAATTTGCTTTTACATTTTAAATTCAAGCAAGAAGTGAATCTAGTTTTTTTTTTTAATATCTAGTACCAATTTGTTATAACAAAAAATATTCTTGTTATTTAACAAATTCAATCTAATATGTTTTAAAAAGTATTTAATTTGTTTTAAATAAAAGCTAGCAGTAAAGTAAAAAAATCTATTTTCCACGTTAAATAAATTTTGAAACATTTTTTGTATTTAACTTATAATGTAGAGGTGATCTTTTAGAAAAGTTAATCGAGAAATGAAAGTAGATAAGTAAAAAAAGATTTTAGTCGCTGCAATCACCTAATATTTTTTTACATAACAGGTTAGAACCTCTAAATTTATTATTCATTAATTAAATAATACTAAATTTCAAGATTGTAAAACCTGAAGGTGAGGCCAAGAAGCTTCAAGAGTTGGCTCGTCTTCTTCAGGATCAAAATCAGGATTATCTGAAGGTGGTAATGTTCTAAAACAATTATTTGCAACCTAAAAAAAAAAAAAAAAAAAAAAAAATAAATAAATAATAGAAAAAACTAAACTAATAATACAATTACTACTACTAATAATAACAATAATACAAAACTAAAATAACTACCAGCTAAGTTTTTCAAGACACATTGTACTTTTTTATCTTGTAGTTCAATCAAATCAGTCACAAACAATTTAAAAAAAATATTTGTAACAACCGAAGTTAAAAGCAAACTACAGTAAAGAACATAGTTGAACTAAAAACTTAGTTTTCTTTAAACAAATTTTGAGAGTTCAATCGAACTCTACACATTTCATAAGTTTTTTATATTGTAATGCATTATAAATTTTTATATTGTAATGCAACACATAAACAATGTGGTAAGTAATAATGTCATTTAGGCCTTTAGTTTTTGCTTTCACACCACTTTAAGGATGTATGAGCAACTTTACCACTTTAGGACTTTAATGTCATGTATGCTAAGGCTTACACAACCTTAGAGTGGCGTATGGAAGCAATTTAGGGCTCTCACAAAAGTATAATTTTTTCATGAAAATATATTCATAATTTATTCATAATTTATTAGTTAATTAATAACATTTTTTTAATTCTGGTATTAATTAACACTAAATTTAAAAAGTTTTTGAATAACAAATATTTTTAGAGGTGCCCCAAGACCTTTGAATACATATAAAAAAAAAAGTTCTTCAAAATTAGGTCAACCTGGTACTAAAAAAAAGGAAAACCATATAAAAATTTTGAAAACAATTGTTTCATATAAAAACTTCTTTCATAAAAAATTTTTTTTCATAAAAACTTCTGACAAAAATAAAAATAAAAGTGCATTTTTACAAATTTTTGAAGACATTTTTGTTTTTTTTTGAGCATCAGGTTGAACTACTTTTGAGGTACTTTTTTTACATATATATTAGGGACCCTTTAAATGTTTAAAGGTCTTGGAGCACCTCTAAAAATATTTTCTGTTTAAAATTTTTTTAAATTTAGTGTTATTTTATTATAAAGATCACATTTATAACTCAAACAAGGTAATTTTTAAAAATTGTTATTATTTTATGTACCCTTATATATATTTATGAAAAAATTATACTTTTGCCAGAACCATAAAATGCTACAGTAAACTACTTTAGGGATTTGTGAGAGAGAATGACAGCTAAATACAAAATTTTAAATGAAATTAAATCAGGAGACGATCAAGTAATTACAAACTAATTAAAAGGAGTGTTACCTAAAACAGATTAGATATATCAGAAACAAAATATAACGCAATTAACATAAAAATTAACTAATGCAATATATAACACAAATTATAGAAAAACTTTAAATTTATGATTAGCATAGGTCCAATTTAAAAAAGCTTAAGCATACTGAAAATATTTGAGGTGTTATCATTTTCTTTTGCACTTCTTGAGAATTATATGTGCACATAGCGAAACAAAGTGGATATATTAAAAGTTGGCTTAATTAAATGTTTTGGCTCCTATAATACTATATATCTATTTTTTGCTTTTTTAACTTTAAGCTTTGAAACTTCGTTCTGCTCTATTACTGAAGCTATCTTTATTTTATTTAATACAGCTGCAAAATTTGATTAAAAAAAATATATATAAAAAAAAATACTGTTAGCATTGTCTGGTTCATATTTTTAAAATGTGGAAAATACGTAGTGGAAAATTTCAGTAATAAATTTTGCTTTGCATGAAACATAATTTTGCGTTGAGCTATTTAGTTTGTTTGAAACTTTCTTCAACTATTGTATAGGTAATGACTAAAAAGGTTAAAAAATATATATATCTTAAAAAATATATATTTAAGCTTGTGTTTATGAGTTACTTTTTAAAGAGTCCATAAAAGCAGTAAGTCTTAAACTTATATATCTTTAAAACAAATTTATTTAAATATATCAATGATAGAAATTTAAATATGTAACAAAACAAAATATATGTATTTTTGTAATAAGTATAAAAAAAAAAAAAACTTAAATAAAAAAGATAATAAAAAGCGACATTTTTCAACATTTGTCAATTTTAGTAAATAATTAATGTTGAAAACACCATGATTTCTGTTGTGAAGACGCTTTTCAAAATCAGTTATAACAACGGACATCTACAGAACGAGAGAGAACCAAGCACACTTATTATAAAGAAAACCATATTATAATAACTTAAGGAATAAAGTTGTTCCAAAACTGAACAGAAAAGTTGTTTGTTTTATTAGGGTTGTCAATATCAATTTAATCAGCACTTAAAAATGCATTGATCTCCCGGTAAATGTTCGAGCACTTGTTCATTGAATGCTCAACATTAACAACATTAGTGAGTGTTAATATAAATCGTCAATCAACATTAGTGAGTGTTAATATAAATTGTTTAGCATAATCATCTCATTATCTTCAAATATCTCATTAACAATGAAGCTGTTTCTCTATCAATGCATTAATATGGTGTTTTAATACATTCTTTAAAAGAATCTTCCTTTTTGACAGTTATTATTCCACTACTGTTTTTTAATAGCCATTGTGAAAACTCTACTTAACCATCATGTACTCTCATTTTTCAGTTAATGCAAACATTTGCAACTATTGCCTATGTAATGAACATTTTATAAATACTTCTACAACTTCAGACCTTGCTGCCAAAAAAATAACTTTCCTACCAAATGGAATGTTGCTATATTGTTGTTGCAAAAATATAATGGAAAGTTGTTGTAAACAAACTATAAATTGCATTCAAGATTTTGGGTATAAGACATGTTTAGGTATAATGAATTTCCAGTCCATGTGGCTGTAGCAGATTAAAAACTCAAAACTACTGCTTATTTGTTAATATTTTTGAATTGATCTTGAAATTATGATAAATAATCTCATTGTAAAACCATGTTATTATTGTTATTATTATTATTAAATGATAATTATGATTTAAACGCATGTATCTTAATTCATTTGACAAATTATCAGATAAAACTAGAGAAACAAAACATACACTACAATGTAATATTAAAAATGAAACATAAATGAGAATTGTCTAATGAGATTTAGAGGTGATCAAATATTTTTCATTTTAAAAAATCATGAATAATTTAAATCTTATCTAATATTTTATTTTAAAATCTTTTTTTTATTATTTATATTATTAAATAATATATTATTGATAAAATAATAAAAAATAAATAAAAATTAAAAATATATATCATTAAAAATCATATTTATATAAATCAAATATAACAGTCGATTAAATGCTCTGGTGCATATATTTATATAAAATTAAAGACAAAGGTGTTTAAAAACAAAAAAATTTAAACAACTTAGCTATTTTAAAACAAAAGTAAGAAACTCTAATAACATATATTAGCATATATTTATCATTCTTTTTATTTTCAATTGTTTAATGTCTTATTTAAGATATAAAATTTTATATATAACTAAAATATAAAATTTTTCCATAACTAAAATCAGATTTTCCAGGCCTGGACAGGAATGGCATGCGATCACACGCTGTAACTGACCACGCTTATAACATTTTTTCTTCACGATATGACCACTGGCTGTTTTGATATTTTTAGTAATTCAAATACAATAAATAAATCGTAACATGAAAAACTTTTAATCATTGATTTTTCTAAATTTTTTCTTTTATGTAAAGGCTTCAAATAAAATACAAAATTGAAACGAACGCAATTTGCATAAATTAACAAAAAAATGTTTAAATTAAATTTAATATTTAAATTTTTTTATGTAGGCATGTATTATTTATGATAAATTTAAACTTTTAAAACTATTTCTCATGTCTTTCTAAAAATCTTTTTTTTAATTATTTTTTTTTAAGTTAAATTATGAATAAGTTAAATTAAATATTTCCATTGCAAAGGAATAATTTAATTGCTTTATTTTTTTGTTTATATTTTTAAAAAGAAGTGTTTGAAAGTTTTTTTTGCTTTTTTTAATTGAATACTCTTTTAAAAAGATTTTGTTTATTTTTTAAAACAATTTTTTGCAATTTTTTGGAAAAAATGTTAATACAATTTTAAAATATTATATTTTTTCTTTTCAATAATTTAAATAAAATTTGTTTATTTATTAAATAATCATTAGGAGTAATTTGCAAAAACGTTTTGTGTATCTTTAATAAAATGTTTCAAAAGATAAGTTTTGAAGTTATTTATTTAAAACGCAATTAAAAATGTAAGAAAAAGTAATTATGGGCTTTGAGTTTGAGTTTTTAAGTTTTATTTTAAAGCTTATATATTTTCTTTTTTATAAGGAATTGTTTTCTTAAATGTTTTTTTTTTAATGTTTTTAAATTTTTTTTTTTTTTTTTTTTTTTTTGTAGTTTAAGTTTAGCTTAGCATTTCTAATTCTAATTTCAGCGCATTTCTGAAATGTTTAAATCATCAAAACATCTTAACACTAGTGACCAAGTTGTCAACAAAAAAATCATTTGCGTGGTCAGCAGTAGTGTTCAATAACACACCATTCCTGTCAAAGCCTGATTTTCATGTTTCATACAATGAATAAATAGCTTTATTTTATAATTAATTGATTGAAAAATTACCACACATATTTTTCAGACGTATAGCAACTATTATTTTACCTTTATTTTTTTATTTTTAATACTTTAAATAACTCGTGTTTAAACAAACAATATATTAAATTATGTAAGTTTTGACTTTTATTATTTTTGCAGCAGTAAACTTAATTGTTTTTTTATAAATTTTCCCAATTCGATAAATTAATCACAGTTTCGAACAAGAATGACAACACCGAGAACTTGAAGATTAGAAATATTTCCAGATATTGCAATTCATGATCAATTAATTTGCCTCTTGAATTACAAATTGAGTTTGGAGTCGAAATAAACTTTATACAATCTCAATGAAGAAATTGAAACAGTAAAAAACAAATATGCAAAAACTATGGAGCATGCAAATAAATGGATTTTGTGTAATAAAAATTTAGTTTAAAGTAACTATGTACGGAACAAAAACCTAAACTGATAATGGAAAATCAAGTGTTATCAATGATTGAGTACTCAAAGAAGAAACAACAAGTCTGAAAATAATAAAGAAAACTATAATGGCAAAATTAGTTTAATCAAGTTTACAATCAACATGCATAAAACGAAAAATGGAACAAATGATTTAGATAAAATGCAACCAACACATTACTTGACAATGGATGTGCCAAGACTTATTTGATTTCTGATGTTGATTTCTGATGTAATTCTACTGAGTTGTTCCTGAAAGGTAAAACAGTAAAGGTAACTGTCAACAGAATAAATTGAAAAAATCATTTATTCGAAGCCTATAGAATTCCAGCTTGAGTCATTGAACAAAAATACAACTATTATAAAAGAAGCATTTACAGTAAATAATGAAACTGGAAACTTAAAAGTAGTTAATTGGGTAAAAATCTCCAAAAGATGAAGACAAAAAACATCAAATTACTAAATATTGACATTTTAATTGGTGCGGATTATGGTGAGTTACTATGTGCAATTAAGAAAGTAAAAGATGGATGTAATGAGTCAGTTGCGTGACACACTACTTGGTTGGACATCTATTGGTGGTTATTCAGAATGTCTTAAAACCCAGTTTACCACAGCTGCAAAAAAAAAAAAATAAAAAAAATAAAAAAAGAAATAAAACAACACAATTAAAAAGGAATGGGAAAGTGAAAGTGTAAAATTACTAAAAAGTAAATTTACACCTTCTAGATGACACTTCAGCTTTAAATGCAGTAACAAATTTGTTTGAAATAAAAAGTGGAAGATAAAATTACCATGAAAAGGATGATAATTATATAATGGCACTAAACTGACTTAAAAATACTAAAAAGCATCTAATAAATGACTTAAGTCTTGGAGCTCAGTTGAATAACATAATATTGTTAAAAAAAATTGATTCTTGGAAAAAAATTGATAACCATAGTTCAGGGGCTATTCAAGACCGTTTTTGACAGCGACGACCGTATTTAGGCACTGCCCAAATTAAAAATCGAGCAACTTATTTACATTTATTACGGCAAATATAGTTTTTTCGCCAAAAAAAAACACTGATATTCAGCAATATTTCCGCTAAATTTCTCTGGGACGGAGGGTACCGCTGCCCAAATTTTTTTTCTACAATAGCCCCTGTAGTTATAGTTGATACTATTATATTTTCGAATTCTCCCTCCTGCAACAAATTTAAAAGAAAAAAAATGCAAGCCTACTCAACTAATGGCCATTCTACTAAGAATTTGTTTACCAACATGCATTTTCTAGAGTTAGTATTCATTTTATTGAGCCACTTCTAACTATGCAGTTTAGAGGAAAGATATGAAACTAAAAATACTTGTGTTTGTTTACCTGTTTATTTTCACAAGCAGTACATCTCGCATAACTTGGATACAAATTCATATCTAAATTCTTTCAATTTTAATGGTAAACAGAAGAGGAATACCATTAGAAGTTTTAAGGGTCATTGGAACAAAATTTGTCGGCAGAAATGCTGAACTAAACAAATAAATTAACAACTTAGATAAAATAAACTCTACAGCTGGTAAAAAAAATAAGTGTCACTTCAACACTCCATTAAAACCTCATTATGGTGGCATATTTGAAATAATGGTCAAGGTAAAACATGCAGTAACTGCAATACTTTAAAAAGCCAATATTAATAATATTACACAATTAAAGATGAAAAATTCTTTTATATGCGCTGAAAGTTTATCAAATTTTAACTATCAACTATTAACATATCAAAGTATGAATATAAAAGATAATGTTCCATTGACTACTGATTATTTTTTGACCAGACAAGTTGGAGAGCAATTTGCTCTAGACTTACATAAAACAAAAAAAGTTTTTCTTTTAAAATGCTGGTGTCAAGTGCAAGAGCAGCTTCATTTATTATCAAAACAAAATTGAATTAAAAAAAAAAAAAACTAACACTAAATTAAAATAGACAACATTGTATTTGTAATTTCTTCAAATAAACTCAGAGGAAGTCAGCCACTTAATTTTAAAAGTATAGTATAGAGTTAAGTATAAATATAGCTAAAGATTAATATAGATGGATGTGAAAGGTTAAATTGGTGAAATAGAATTTTGTAACCAACAAAGTCTTTTCTGAGCATGATAACCAAAAGTGTTTTGATAGGCTAGAGTCTATAAAAGATAGGGATCAGAAAAGAATTTGTTTACCATCAAAAACACATAAATCAATTGTGGCAATTGAACGTAATGAAGAAATTCTGACCTTATGATTATGGAAAAATATGACATTAATATAAAACAATTTAATTTACTATTAAAATTAATAACTTTAATTTAGCGATCTTTTATAACTAGAGAAAATATTTTATTAATGTTTGAATTGAAATAAGTTAAAAACATAAATTTTGAACCCTTTAACTCAATTATAAAAAATATAATATTAAAAAAATTGGTAGTATTCTTGATTGCCATTGGGTCAGGCAAATTTAGGCAAGAAAAAACATTACAAATGATAAAATTTAAATTTATTTATATAGAAAGCTAAAAAATAAACATACCATTCTAACAATTTCAGGATAGACAGGTTCAGTCAAAACTCCACGTTCTGATGTAATGTAATCAACCAACTCATTTAAAGTGCCTCTCTTTACCTCCTTACCTCTCAAATCACCAACAGGGTCCATAAAATCAAAAACTGTACAACACTGTTGAAGTTTTTTAATAAACAACTCTTGTCTTTCTTGTGCTGGAGCATCTGAAAGCAAAAACTTTTAAAAATAAAATAATGAATATTTAATGTGACATAAGTATAACAAAACAATGCCATAAATACAGCAAAATAATAAGTGACATATTAGCATCAAAATAACATGTGTAACATTAAAATAGAGTTTTAAACACTAGTTTACTACCGGTTTAGGTAAATAAGACATAATTATGTTTACAAATGAAATATAGCAAACAATTTAAAAAATTTAAAGTATTTTATTCCATCATTTGTTTATGATGCATACAATTTAATTAAAGCATATACAATTTAATTAAAGGATATATCTCATTCTGCTTTTGTAAGAGTGGAATGGGATTGTATATGTTTCAATTAAATTATGCTAAACTTGACTTGATAATATAACAACAGAATATGCAATTTTCAATTTTATTATCAGAAATAATTAGCAAGCCTTCATAGGAGATGTGTGCAGTCATATGCCTTATCTGACCAAACATATAATGTTATGATTAATGTTATATGACCAAACATGAAATTTACAATATCTTTAATGTTTGAGGCATAATTTCAGTAGAGCTAAGAAACAAACAATGGAAGATAATCTTCAATGTATCTTCTTTGACGGCAAAGAGAACTTAACTCAGTATATAAGGAAAAAATAGTATTCAGTTTTAGTTGCCATTGGTGTGGACCAAAATACTTTGAATACTGATTGTCTATAAAACAAATTTGGATAATTTGTGCTTTTAATACAAATTCCTCTTCGAGATCTTATTATTCAGCTTTAATTAGGCATTTTTTTGCAAAAAAAAATTAATTAAATCAATTATTTTATTTATAAACAAGATATTTATATATAAATAAAAAGATTTGCTATGAAAAAAAACAACAACCTAAATTTCTGAATATGGGTGGCACCCAAAACGGTCTAGAATAACCCCTGTATATTTATGTACCATTTTCCTTAAATCTATCTTCGTAAAGATTAAAAAAATAAAATACCAGTAGATGTTAAAAAGACTAGATGTGCAAAATATAAAAGTTGCAAGTCTTCACGATCTTATTTTAATTTTAATTTTTTTTACATTTAATTTATAAGAATATATAAACTAGGGTGAATTATAAATCAGGGTTTGAATTAACACAAAAAAATCTAATTACAAAATAAAAATTAAAATAAAAAAAGAATGGAGAGGGTAGGGGGGGGGGAAGGAGGAAGCGTGTTATTATAAAATTGTATCTTTTGTACATTAGTTTGTAACTGGTATTTTTTTAAACATAGTATCTTTCTATTATATTTAAAATGATATATTTAAATATTATCTTATATTTTCGTTTGGCAGAGTTTAAAATAACATAAGTTACTGTTATAATTTATAATTTAAAGTTTTAATTAAAACTATAATGTAATGAGCAAGTTACGTATTTAATACTATTACGATTTTACTTTTAGAAATTGTTTTTACATAACATAATACTTAAAAAAATAAAAGTAAAAATGAAAATTTTACAATATTTAAAGCACTTTAATTAGTTACAAAAAACTATTTAATACGTACATGTTAACAATAAAACACATTTTATTTATAAAGAGTATTAAACTATCATTGTAAAAAGCTATAAAACAACCATAAAACAATAATACAAAGTTGTTTTGTCAATATAAAGAGCTTGCGTTAATATAAAACGCATATAAAATAAAACAAGGTAAAAAAATAGAACTGTTTTAAATTAATAAATTGAAACATTATCATCATAAAACTTTAACTTCAAATTTGCACAAAAAAAAAAAAAAAAAAAAACGCTATATCTAAAGACCAACAAGCAAAAAAACAAAAAAAAAAACATGCTATGTCTATAGAGCAAAAAAAAACAAACAAACAAAAAAACATGCTATGTCTATAGACTAAACCAAAAAAACATTTGATATCATGTTTTTTCTAATTTATTACTTCTTGATCTTGCGTATTATTAACAATTTATATATAATTAATTTTTTCCTTTAAATGGTTTTTAAGTTGATATTTTTATTCAATTTTTTGGTTCAAATTGTTTTGCAATAAAAAGTGAAAGAAAAAAAAAATTGGCTTAATAAATTGAATATTATATTTTCTTAACTGTATCATTAAATTATTAAATTTTTAATTTGAATTTTTTATAATTTAATTTTTGGTTTAATGTTTGCAATAACCACTAGTTTAATGTTAGCAATATAATTTTTATACTTTTAAAATTATTTTCACAAAACAAATAATAACAACGCTTTTACAAAAAATATTTAACTATTTAAAATGTTTACAATTTAAATAAAGCTTTCTTCATACCCTTGCTATGTCACTGGGTATTACAGACGTCGCTGCAATTAAATTTATAATTATAACAATATTGTCAGCGAGTGTTAAAGTTTTTTTCTTTTAAACTTTTCAATTATTATTTTTTTAATTACAATCGAAAAAATGTTAAATTGCAATTTCAAAAGTTATTTGAATAAGAGAATTTTAGAAGACTAAAATTCTTTTGTTCAAATAGATTTCTTTAAAAAAAAAAATTCTAAAAACAACTTGCGTTAATAGAAAATGTTTAATCTTGATATAAATAAAATTGAAAAAAAAAAAGTATAACATTTTTTATATTCTATTCAAGATTTTTTGTTAAAATAAATTTTAGTTAGAAGCTTATTATGTGTTAACAACATTTAAGATATAAAAGAAACATTTGTATGGCTAACTTTTATGAGTCTTTGAGTACATTAAGTAAATTAATAGATAAGAAACTTAACTGGTTATTTTGATTTTGTTTATATGTAAATTTACTGTGATTTACTTTATCCATTAAGTTGCATATAACTTAAAATATTCTTAGCTTCCACACAGAGATTTAAAGTAATTTAAATTTAAAAGCACTTTATGTTGAATAAAAATCTCTGCACAGAAGAGCAAATGATCATACTTCTATTCAAAAGATAAACTTATCGTGACATTTATTATTTTTTTAAAAAAGAGTCTTTAATGGCGGATCATTTTTTTTTTATCTCTACTAGCTTCAAATCTTAATAAAAAAGCAACATTTAAAAATATGTTTAAATAGGCATTTCAACATATTATGTCTAAATATATTTGGATAAGTGATTTCCTGTAGGTTAAAAAAAGTGCTAACTAAATAATATTTTAATGAGACTGAGACTTTTTAAACTCAATGCACCTCAACAAAACAAAGTTTTATATAAACTTATGTTTCTTCCGAAATCATAATACATAATATATATCAGCCCATAGAATTAGGGTCAGGACCTAACTGCTGACAAAAATGTCTGAGTTATAGATTTTCAAACTTTTTCCACTCATTTTTATAATTTATTTCTTAATTATATGGTAAATTGCATAGTTAATTTAAAAATTAAAATGAATAGCAGATAACAAAGCAAATTGATTATGAATTTAGTACATATAAAGCAATCAAATGTAGTAAATATAAAGTAATTATAAAGTAAATAATTAAATTAAAAACCCTTTTATCTAATAAAATATTACCTTTCAATAAAGTGAGTGGCTGTAATTCAGCAACAGGTGTTGTTTTAAATCTAGACGAACCTTGCTGCTTCTTTTGACTTTTGACTATTTTTTTTACAGAAGATTTTCTTGTGAATGGATCAACATTCTCCTTAGTGCTTGGCTGGGCAGCTGAAGCTCCATGTGGCATGATGTAAGGCCCACAATTTAAAATCCCAGTGTTAGGTTATGCATGTATTGAATATCTGAAAATGTCATAAAACAAGACATACAAATTCTAAATGTCTTAAACTCAAAAAAAAAATTTTAAAGATAAAATAAAAACAAAGAATTCATTTTAAAAATACTTTAAAACACATAATAATAGTACAAGTTATCACTGAAAGACATATCCTAATTGGCGACTTATAAATACTCATTTTAAGTATTATCGAAACTAAAACTAAACTAAAGTAATTATTGAAACTAAACTAAAATGATATACCTAGGTTAATCACATTATTGAAATAGGGGTATCAGCTGAAGCTAAACACTTTTGTTTTTTTACTTTAATATCTTCGATTTTTTAAAAAGATGATTTAATAATTGATAGATTATATTTTATAAGTCAAGTTGCATTTTTATTTACCAAGTAGTAAATTAAAATCAGCACTAAATGAGCAAACAATACTTTATTATTAAAAAAAAAAAAAAAAAAAAGGAAAAAAACAATCTTGTTTAGTGATAGTCAAAAACTAAAAGGGTTATGTTTATGTATGACATATGATCTTAACATATGTTCACTTGAACCATTCTTCACCTTTATCTTTCTTTAATTGCTTCTTATATGGAATACTACTATATCTAGCCTGAATTATCTGATAATGCCCCATATCTTTGTCAAGATGTCATATCAAGATGTAAAAACACTGTAAAGTTGGGCCTGCTCTTGCAGTAAAATTATTCAGTGGGCACAATTAGTGTTTTAAACAACTGAAAAACATTGATATATTTTATTAGGTGTTTTAAATGTCTTGTGCTCAATGGGTAGAGCCTCCATTTTATTGTTATATGATTGATTGTAACCCTTTTGCGCTAAAGTTACAGTTGACATACCAACTATTTTAGCTATTTAACTTTGAAGATTTAAAGGGATCTCCAAGTGCCCAAACAAGTTGTGTTCAAATTAAAGAAAATGTCTAAAATAATGAAATCAAAGTATTTTTTTGCCAAAATCAGAAATCATTTGTATAATTTTTCATTAAACTATAAAAAAAATTTGTAATACAATTAAAAATATAATAATTAAAAACAACAATTTTAATTTTATTGATATGAATTTATTATTTAGTTTTAATCAAAAAAAATTAGCTCAAACGTTTTATTTAAAAATTTTCTTTAATATAATCACAACTTGTCTTGACACTTGGATATCCATTTAAGCACAACATATGTGTCAAATAAGGAAGTTTTTTTTTAGTTAGTTAGTATGATAACCGCAATGCAACTTTATCACGTTGCATAGAATGCCTTTATGGCACTGTGCTGGTTTTGTTGGAACCTATCCAACTGGTTTTTGAATGTGTTTAGGCTTCCAGCATTAACAATCTCTTCCGGTAGGCTATTCCAGCTGTTAACAACTCAGTTTGTAAAAAATCGCCTTGATCAGTCGACTATGTCCATGGCGTTGGGCAGAACAGATCGGGGTGTGGTGCCAGTTAACTATTTCTTTTCCAGATTCGATTTTAAAAAGTTGAATTAAGTCACCACGGTGACACCTTTCTTCAAGGGTGGTCAAGTCTAAAATGCCTAATCTATTTTCATAAGGTAGATGCTTTATATTGTGGGCTATCTTAGTAGCGCGTCTTTGGACTCTCTCCAATACATATATATCCCTAATCGTATGTGGGTTCCAACTTGAAGCAGAGAGTTCGAAATGAGGAAGCACATACACTATGTATTTTATTTTCAAATAACTTTTTTATTAAATCAATTTTTCATTAATTTATAAGGGAGTTTTATTTTCAAGTAACTTTTATTCTATATTAAGTTATAAGATATACCAAAAATGCTAATTGATTTTAATAAATCTTTTACTATTTCAATACAATGTTTTATTATTTCCATACAATATTTCATGCATTTGCAAAGTGCGTGCAAATTAATGATAATTAAAGGCTATTTTCCACAAGATAAAAAAGAAAACATGATACAAATTTGATTTTCACATATTATTTTTTGCACTACTACTTTCGTTATCAATAATAAAATGGCAGCTATAAATTTACGCTGTATGCTTTTGAAAAAATATATATATAAATATAAAAAATAGTATTTTATATAATATTTTTTTGGAATGTTTGCAAAAATAAATGCTAAGTTCTCATAGAAACACTTATGTGGAAAAACTGTTACTGCAAGAAGTTAACAGATGGTTCAACTCGAAGAAGATAAACCTTCTTGAGAAGTGAAACTTTCGGAATTGACAGCATTAGTAAATTCATCTTTATTTGATGAATTTGCTAATGCTTGCTAATTTTCAGGGATAATTCTAAGTAAATAAGAACACCAAGTTGTGGATTTTTATTATTGCTGTTGTTGCCATTGCCAAAAAAACAACGCGCTTTTGCTTTTTTTACTGTTAACCTCACATGATATACTATTTAAATTGATTAGTTTTCGCTCATAACATTCTGCAAAAAGTCGCAATGAATCCAACTTTATTCGCTGCAACAAATTGATTGATCAGCAATACCAGCAGAAATGTTTCATCTGTGAAGGCTTATCGAAGAAAAAATTTGCTTTGCGCAAATAGTGTCTTATGGAAAGCGGCCTTATAATGCAATAACTTAATGATTGTAAGCCGTTATTCATTAAGGGGTCGTTCACAAATTTTGTCACGCAATATTTGACCCCTTCTTCTCTCCTTGTTACAACATCGTAACTCTTTAGTAACTAGTTCCGTATAAGTTGTCACAAAAGCACTAACAACCCCCCCCCCCCAACTAAAGCATGACGCAATTTATGGACAACCCCTAATACAAAATAGAGAACTTTTCTTAATTTAATTCATTAAATTTATTAACTTATAAAAAATATTGTATAAACTTAAGGAAATTAAAATAAAAGGGAATTAAAAATAAAATGTTATAATTACATTTCTTTTTTTAAAACTTTAAAAATAATAATATCATACTATACATTTAATAAGTTATTATATTAAGTTATTATTAAATACTTATGATATTATTATATTCATAATATAAAGTATTTAATAATAAATACATCATTTCTTACTATAATAATAAATTAAACTATTATAAACAAAATAATTTTATATATTCTATTGGATTATATATTTCAGCAAAACTTAAAAATTCTTTACAAATGTTTTAAAAGTGTTTTTGGAATGCAAACAAATGTTACTTCACTTTAACGATAAGGGGTTGTCCATAAATTATTTCACGCTCTAGGGGAGGAGGGGTTTGAGTCTTGTGATGACTCACATGGGACTTGTTACTATAAAGTTAAAAAGTTGTGACAAGTGGGGAAGGGGTGAAAAACTATCCAAAATTGCGTGACGTACTTTATGGACAATCCCTAATAAGGGATTAAGATATTTTATTTTCCTAAATTTTAGCATTTTTTAAATACTATACAAGAAAACCTGATGTTCGTTTTTCTGTCTTTTTTAAAACAAACGTTCCTATGTTCGTTGATTTGTTGCACCTCTGCAAAGCTTTAATTATTTTTAAAAGCTAGAAAAGTCGAAAATCATTTGAAAAAAATACAAGAAACAAAATAATCGAAGATGACAGTTTTAAATGAATACTTTGATGTATGATCTATCAAATTTGATGAAAGTGAGGGTATTGGCTTTTTGTAAAGAATTTAGGGTTGGTAGAATATGTTCTTGAAATAAGAAATATTTCAAGTGACTACATTTTAAAACTTGGCATTAATGGAGGAGCTGAAGATTTAAACATTTATTATAATATTTTAGATTGTTGTGAGGTGTTCAGCAAACTTATTATTATTGCACTTGCAGAAAATTTGTAAGAATCTTATGCAAATATGTAAAAATAATAATTTTTATGAAGTTTAATAGTATTAAATATTTTTATGCATTTGATATGAAGTCGGCCAACACTTAATTTGGATTAGAAACTGCAGCATCAACATATCCTTGCTCTTGGTGTACAGCTAACAAAGAGAAATTTTAAAATTTGAACATGGACATGAAGATGAACAAAAAACGCTTGGAATGATTAGATTTGATTGAAAAAAAAAAATTAAATTAACTGCTGCATCTTATAATAACTGTGTGAACCAACCACTTTTAGACATGATGAAACGTTTCAGCAGACTTTAGCAAAAAATCAGCATATTTTTGTAAAAAAAAACAATATTTTTCATAAAAACATAAAAAAAAGGTGAAAAAAAAAAAAAAAAGTCCTCAAACTTTAATTTGAGCAGCACCCAAGCCGCTCAAATTAAAGTTTGAGGACTTTTTTTTCACACCTCGTCGACCTCAAATAAAAATTTGAGGTCGACGCTGTCGAAAACGATCTAGAATAATCCTGCCCATGGAGCTACATCTTCTCAGAGGAAAAACTAACAGGCTTTCTAATTATCTTTGTAAATATACAAAATCAAAGAGATTTTCTTTTAAAGCAGAAAACTGGAATATAAACCTAGCTTTTAAAAGATCAAAAATAAGATCAAATTTATTATAATAAATTTTAATATAAATTTACATTTATTATAAACTTGTTGTTATAACTATAATGCTTAACAAACCCCTTTTTTTAAAGCATTTTAATAACTAATAATTTTGCTACTTCAACAATTAAGCTACATTTTATTGTCGTCAAAATGTCAAAGCAATTAAATTAATGCATTAAATTACATTAAAGTACATTAAATTTTATTTTTTTAAAAAAAACGTGAAATGTGGTGAAAGATTTCAATATATCTGATATAAATTTTCTATATCAGTAATAATAATGACTAGAAAGTTTTTTTTAATTAATAGTGTTTTTATTTTTGTTTTATTAAAATATATTTTTAAAACATGCGCGGATTGTTACATCAACTATCTTGTTGCCTGCTGCTACCAGGGAGTATTGCTTCATCGACTATCTTACAGCCTGACTCGCAACAGAATGCTGCTACATCGACTATCTTATTTACTGACTTGCAACAGAATGCTGCTACATCGAGTGACAAATAGTCTGACTCACAAGGGAGTGCTGCTACATTGACTGAGGGTTTGGTTAGGGCAGGCATTCTATAATTAAAAAAAAAAAGGGGGTTAACCCTATAATATATATATATATATATATATATATATATATATATATATACATACATATATACATATATATATATATATATATATATATATATATATATATATATATATATATATATATATATATGTATATATATATATATATATATATATATATATATATATATATATATATATATATATATATATATATATATATATATATATATTATAGGGTTAACCCCCTTTTTTTTTTACTTTTTTTTTGTCACTCGATGTAGCAGCACTCTGTTGCTAGTCAGTCTATAAGATAGGTGCTTGAAATAGTTTTTCAAAGCTTGCCGATCAAATGCAATTTTTTCACAAAAACAGGTTATTTTTTGAAATTTCCCTAAAAATAGCCGATCAATGATCGTTGATTGGCCATTATTTCAAGCGCTATAATAATATATAGTATATATACAGCGGTGGCCAAAAATTTAAGACCACTCTTTTTTTTTTGAAAATTTATTTTTAACCTTAGTATAATTTTATTTTGGAAAAAGATATCAAAAAAAAGAAAAACATTTTTAGAAAAAATTTTTATTGTATTTTATATTTATTATAAAAGAATTGATAATTTTTTTACAAAATAATATTAAAAAATTAAAAAACTGACTAGTAAAAAATATAAATGGAAAAAAAAAATGGACAAAATTTAAAGAACAGTTTCAAAAAGCAATAAAAAAATAAATTAGAAATGTGTTGTTCCTCCATTTGTTTTTAAGCACTCTTGTACTCGTTCTGGCATTGAATTCATTAAAGTTTTGATTACTTCATCTGGCACATTATTCAAATGATGAGCGATAGAAGATTTCAAATCTTCCAAATTGTAAAGTTGTTCTTTACCAAGCATTTGTTCAAGCCACAACCATAAATTCTCTATTGGATTAAGTCTGGACTACTGGCAGGCCATGGAAGCACTTGAATTTTATTAGAATTGAACCAATCGCTAACAACGCTTTATGACACGACACATTATCTTGCTGGAAAATAAATCCATCTTGCAACTGCCTTGTTTTGTTCCTTTCAAAATGCATGATTTATCGAACAGTTCGCTTGGAAGTCTACGCAATATTAGGCGACCTTTTCTGTTGTCTACCTCAATGTTCATTTCATCACTAAAGACCACACGGCTCCACTGATCTGTAGACCAATTTTTATAGAGTTTGCACCACCCTTTCCTGGCAAATTTTTGTTTTTTATTTAAGCATGGTTTTTTTGCAGCAGCACGCCATAATTTAAATTGTGGAGGACCCTTCGCACAGTTCAAGGGCTTGCTTTCAGACCATTTGACAGTGTCCATTTCGTAGACAAGACTGTAGATGATGCTTGTCTGTTTTCTTTCATTAATCTCACTAACGAGCGAACATCACGGTCATTTGAAATTTTATTGCATCCAGTCCTATGACGATCATTAATTGACCCGGTCTCTTTGTATCGTTGAATTATGTTAATAATGCAAGAGTGAGACCTTCCGAGCTTTTCTGCTATTTGTCTGATGCTATAGCCTTCTTCTTTTAATACAAGAGCCACGTATCTGTCTTTTCCTCCGATCTTTGCATGCATTTTTGCAATATTTTTATATCCTTATTGCAATTCAAAAAATAAATGTTTATTTGATATCGAAACTCAGGTTTTAACATTTTATTTTATAGCCAACGTAATAAGCAATTAAGACAGTTAAAAAAAATAATCTATTATTATTTTTAATAAGTGCAAATTAAAGATTTGAAAGTGGTTGTTAAATTTTGTCCAATTTATTTAAAGAAGATTTATAAGTACTCATCAGTTTTTTAATAAGTTAAACACTAATTAATTAGAATTAGGTTAAAAAAATTATACCATTTTAATTCGTATGTTTTAATTAACAAGATATATAAAAAAAAAAAATTAATATGTCAATTAGAATCTTCTTAATTTTGATTTAAAGATTAAGAAACCAACTGAAAAATGAGTGGTCTTTAATTTTTGGACACCGCTGTATATAAATATATATAAATATATACATAAAAATTTGATACAGCATTTTGACGAAATTGGGAATGTGTCAAAATATTTTCTAATCCTCCCCCTCCTGAGGTTAAAATTTAGGAAAATAAAATATCTTTTAACGCGAAAAAATTTAAAGCAAAATAAATTACGTTTAGAACAAATATTTTCAAATACATTGCTCTTTTATAATTTTTTTTATTAAATTAAGCAACGTTTTTATATAAAGTATTATCTTACGATTGTTTAAAAAGGAAACAAATGTTCTTTATTTAACAAAGAGTGTAATATAATTTTTATTTATACACTTGTGTCTTATTTCCAGTGCTAGATTAAGGAGGGTTGGGGTTAGAGGAGGCTATAACCCTGGACCCTCCAATGTTAGGGGCCCCAAAAATGCTGAGAAGACCTCTTTTTAAGTCATTTTTACGCTGTGACACATAGAAAGTCCACTAAAATAAAAATAGCCTCCGGCCTTGAAAACTCCAACAAGATTCTAATCAAAATAACGCAAGTTTTATTTAAGCTAAATAATTTTATAAATAAAAAAGGTAGTTTTTTTTAATAACTATTTTATGCTTCGCGTAGTTTGATAAGTTTAACATATTTGAAACAATTCTTCTTAGTATGATGAACAAATGAAATAATTAAATCATTGAATTACTATAGAAATTAAATTAACTAGATAGAAATCAACTAAAAAGATTAAAAATATTTTATGACGAGGAAGCAAAACTGCTTCACAATATCACTGATGATGTTTAGCAAGTGGGCTTTTTAATTTTAATTAGTATTTAAAGCAGAAACGAGAAACTTCTTATATGTTTATTTCATAATTAGTTTTATTAACTTTGATGATTAATAATAACTTAATTGAAAGGGTAATTATTGTTGAAAGTCTATGTTTACAAAGTAAATCATTAAAATTGCTTTAAAAGATTACATTAGAATAAAAAACAGATACACAAAATTACATATAAAATACATACTTTTTAAATAAAAAATAAGAATATACCAATAAAATCTATAATAAATTTATAATAAACTTTCAAAATTTTGACAATTTAAAAAATGTATATTTAAAACATTTACTATTTTAAACAATAATAGTTTAAAAGAATTACGGCTTTGCAGATGTGGTTCCGAGAATGAGCCATAGTATTAATTTTTTTTATTTTTCTGCACCATGATGTTTTGAGAACATTCAAGTTTATGTATGTTTCCATGTCTGTAAAACATAATTTTTTTGTTACATACATAAACTTAAATTTTCAAGAAAACTGGATTCACTGCTTGCTTGAATTTAAAATGTTTCTTTAAATGTTTTGCACTTTTTGGCTGAAAAGTTAAATAACTTATTAAGTGGTACTGCAAACTCTACTTCAAATAGTAAATGTGCTTTGTCAACAAAAATATTGAGAAGCCTCCTACGCCAGATACTTTCATTACGATTTATATATGATTAATTACGAATTATATTTTATTATAAAATACCAAACAAAAAAAGATTTACAAAAATTACAGAAAAAAAACATCAACTTAAGCTCTCCCTTCCCGCCAAGGCCTATATATATATATATATATATATATATATATATATATATATATATATATATATATATATATATATATATATATATATATATATATATATATATATATATATATATATATATATATATATATCCTAATAGTGTAACCGAAAGAGACTTTTATAGTAAAAAAAAAAGTCTCTTTCGACTACAATTTTTTTACCTCATCTTTTAAGCTGTATTTTATTGTTGTCAAAATTACAAAGCAATTATATTAATGTGGAAGTACATAAAATTTTATTGTTTTTTAAAAAACCCGCAATAATAATGACTAGAAAGTTTTTTTTAATTAATGGTGTTTTTGTTGTTGTTTTGATAAAATATATTTTTAAAACATGGGTGGAGTGTTGTTACATTGACTATCTTATAGCCTGCTGTTACAAGAGAGTGTTGCTATATCGACTATTTTATATAGTCTGACTCGCAACGGAGTGTTGCTACATCGACTGACAAATAGCCTGACTCGCAATGGAGTGCTGCTACATTGATTGATAAATAGCCTGACTCGCAAGGGAGTGCTGCTACATCGACTGAGGGTTTGGTCTGGGCAGGCAGTCTATCATTTGATATCAGGCAGTCTATCATTTTGTCCCCAAGCTCCAATCACCACAACTTTTTGCAAAACATTCTCATTTGACATAAGTATGAACATGCAAAAGTTTGGAGTTTGCAAAATATGTGTAAGTGTAAAAACTCAAACATCTAAAAATCCAGTGTACACCACTGATATATATATATATATATATATATATATATATATATATATATATATATATATATATATATATATATATATATATATATCAAATCCCTGTCTTTATTATTTCAATGTTGCTAGCTAGTTGTTAATTAACTTAGCTGGAATCATTAAATAAAACCAGAAGATTTATGTTTTTTTTTTCATATAAAATGTTCTATTCAAAATATTTAAGATCTAAACATATTCAAAAATATATTCTTAAAAAAGGATATCACAACTTTTATTGAACCAAAGATTTAATGACTAAGAATATATTAAGATAATCATAATAGCCTTAGTAATCTTATTCAGGTTACTGTGAATTTTTTTAGTCAGGTTAAAGACACAACTATTCTAATAAACTATTTTCATTAATTAATTGTGTAAACTGTAGGTGACAACAACTTCCAAAAAAAAACATCCTTGCTTAATTTTTTGCAACCTCTTAAATAGAGTGTTCAAAACTATCTGCTTCAACTGCGCTAAAATAGCTATGCCAATGGATCCCTATATAGTTTCTCAAATATGTTATAGTTGTACTTACTTGTTCAATTGCTTAATATTCTCAGAAACAATATGAAATTAAAATCTATTTATGTGTATATCTATAAATCTATAAAAAGAAAAAAGAAAAATAAACAACAGCAACAACAAAAAAACAATACAAATTTAAGAAAATAAGTTTAATCCATAATACTATGATTTTGTGTATAAATATAAAATAGCATAATACATATATTATCAACATATCTACATTAGCTAGTTTGTTTGCTTGTGTGTGTGTGTGTGTGTGTGTGTGTGTGTGTGTGTGTGTGTGTGTGTGTGTGTGTGTGTGTGTGTGTGTGTGTGTGTGTGTGTGTGTGTGTGTGTGTGTGTGTGCAAAATTATATGTGAATATATATACATATTTTATCATGAATATAAGTAGATGTAAGTGCATGCGTTTTAGAGTCTAAAAGCTAAAACGCACTATCAAAACTATTATTTTGCATTATGCAAGTGCTGCTCCTACTTGCATTATAATATTTTCATTGTTTGGGTTTGTACTATAACCTAGACCTGTATAGTTTCACTGAAGGATTTACATTTTATAATGAATAAAAGAATTATTTCATACACAAATTTGAGATATATAAATATAAGATAAATATTAGATAATTTCATAAATAGCATCGAAGAGTTAAAAAATCCTCTTTCGAAAAATCAATTTCCAAAGAAGTCATTTTGAATCAGTAGTAGTTGCGACCCATAATGGAGATAATAATGTACTTTTACATATTTTAAATTTAACTCCCTAATGAAACTTTTGAAGGCGGTGTTTTATGTAATCAATTAAAAATCATGTTAACATAATCGGCGAAGTACGATTTTATTATTTTTTTTAGTTCTGTAAACTGCGCCTTATTGTTTAGAAAAGGAGGGAGAGTCATAAGGCATTTTCATCAAATAAAAAAAAAAAAATAGTGCTTTGAAAATACGAAGAAACTTTTTATTCATTCAAAAAAAATTAAATATTTAAAAAATTCCGTTTTAAGATATTATTTTTGGTTTTTAGTTGTTGTTTTTTTGTGTGTATGTGTTCCTCTATCTTAAACATTATGTTAAGCTGTTTTGTATAGAGCCACGAATTCCAATTACATTTAATCTAAAATACACTTAATTTAAAGTACATTAAGGCTTATATAGGGTCGCAGCAGATTTTTTAAAAACTTAAGTGCCCGTTTCCAATGATTTAGAAATAGACTTGAACGGCATGAAAATTTTGTAAACTTTCATAAAACTTTTAAAAGTAAAAAACTGGCTTCAGTGAGTTAGTTTTGTAAAAGTGTGTTTGTGTCTATGTATATATATATATATATATATATAAGTATATATATGTCTATATATATATATATATATATATATATATATATATATATATATATATATATATATATATATATATATATATATATATATATATATATATATATATATATATATATATATATATATATATATATAGGCATCTTTAAATTAAGTCAAAAATAAATGTTTCTATGCATTATTTTTCAAACAAAAATGAATTGGATTTTTAGCTAATATATTTTTTTCTTTATGAAAAAATTAATTTCATTATTTTAGCACCAAAATTTTGTGCCACAGAATTATTCACGCGTGATGATAATATTTTAACAAAGCAAAAAATTTAAAAGCGTTTTTATTAGATGATGTCCGCTAATTACTGCATATAAATTTACGCTAATCGTACTTATTTCTGTTATCACCACATAAAGTCGATTCGACAAACCTAAAGCAACTTTAACTTCACTGCTTACATCTAATAAATCTAATTAAGTATGCTCATATTACCATGGTGCTCATATTACCCTAATCTACCCTATATATAATATTTGTGTGTGTGTGTAAACACCTTTGTTTCAGTTATTCATAATCGTTGGTTTCCTTCAGGTATAACTATTTTAGGATTAATTTTTTGCAACGCGTGTTAATTTTGCGTTACTTTAGTTAGAGCAGTTGGTAGTTTTAAATTTTTTAAAATTGGAGTTATAAATCGCAGAATAATATATATAAGTATATATATATATATATATATATATATATATATATATATATATATATATATATATATATATATATATATATATATATATATATATATATATATATATATATATATATATGTATATATATATATAAACATATATATAATTTCGGGTGTGAGGGTTATCACCCAGTGGCGGATTCACCATAGGGCGTGGGTGCTCCCTATGGTGAATCCGCGTTCCTTAAGTCAGTCATCCGGCGCCCCAAAAAGTATAAATTTCTTATTACAAAATTCTGCATTTATTTAAATGGAAATAGAAAACTAGGTAACAACAAACCATTTACACATTTTCCCGCATTTGTGGCAAAAAACAAAACAGAAACGTTTTGTTCTTAGAAAATATATTTTATAATCATAATGTACACATTCAATGGATTTTAAACATAGTTTCGTGTATTAAAACAACTGTGACTTGGTGTATTAAAACAACTGTGAAAAGGAGGGGGAAAAATATTTTTAAATTAACTGATTTCAACGTTGTAGAGCAATTTAGATTTGTTTTTATAAGTTAAAAATGTTTTTGGCAAAAACCCGTATAGCATCTTTTCCCTACTTGAAAGCTACTCGCTCCGGCCCTCTTTCAAATATGTGTACGCATCAATATCTCCAGCAGTGACAACTGAACTATAAATGAACGGCGCACATCCATTCGTAATAGAGAAATAGATGACATCATCCTTTCCTAACTTGTCTATACTCTGCAAAAACAAATTGACTCTTTCTTTTACATATGTTTATTTATTTAAAAATGTTTTAGTAAACGGAATATCAAAAATTATCAGTAATCAACAATGACAAAGTTTCGTCTTTTTGCATTAACATTAACTTTAATTGAATGTGAGCTTGCTGAGAACATTGACAATCATTTTCTTTCAACCCAGAGGGCACAGGCGTCCGTATGACGTCTATACATCGCCTTATGAATATCACTAGTCCTTATAATGAAAAAAAATTGTATAAACTAGCAGGAGAGTAAGTTTTTTTCTTAAAGCTTGCTCTCAGTAATATTCAATGTGTAAATATATCTTTTTAAAATATTTTTTTTGACGATAGTTGCTAACCAAGTAAACTTAGCAAACTCGAAATTTTAGATTATATATATATATATATATATATATATATATATATATATATTCATATATATATAACATATATATAAACATATATATATATATATATATATATACATATATATATACATATATATATATATATATATATATATATATATATATATATATATATATATATATATATATATATATATATATATTTATATATATATATATTATATATATTTATATATATATATATATGTATATATATATATATATATATATATATATATATATATATATATATATATATATATATATATATATATATATATATATATATATATATATATATATTAGAGTAAATGATTTTATTTTAAAATCATTTACTCTAAAATATATACATACTTATTTTAAAATCATGCGATTGATTTTAAAATAATTGACAAGTATTTCCGGTCAAGCAGTGTCTTAAAAACATAGAGATAATATTTATCGGACTTGCAATAAAAGAAATTTTAAAATAGCTGTGCATAAACTGTTACTGTATTAGCAAAAACCTCTTGATGATCTTTTCATTATAGTGGTGAGGTAAAACTGAATCTTAAATTAAAGCTGATTGAACAAGAGTTAGTTGGTATTTTTAGGTAAGGTGTTCTTGAATAATCTTTTTACAGTTTTTTTTTAGAAGTTTTACCGATACCGATTTTGATGATGTGTTAGTATACACTAAATAGCATTTTATGTTGTGTAAAACATTTTTTAAAAAGCCAAATAGGTTAAAACAACTATTTTATATGTAAAGACAAAAACAGAAAGAGTAAAATGCTGGCATTTCATCAATCCTCAATTTTATTTAAAAATATTGGCTTGTTTTACCAAAAAAAAGGTTCTTAGAATTTATTTTACTGAATCAAAAATTAAATAACATTTATATGTAAAACTTTGTATATAATAATTTAAAATATTTGCTATTATTTGTATATCAGATATTATGATAGACTTTTTTTTAACGGTTTACTCGGAACACAATTACTCTTGAGCACAAGTTGATTTTACTTTTAAACTGTTATGGTATACTTGTTCATCTTACCTGTACCTATTGCTTGAGTTTTTTTTAAATTTAAAATCTTGTTTCTACTTAAAGTAGAAAAAAGATTTTAAACTTTAAAGTATATATATATATATATATATATATATATATATATATATATATATATATATATATATATATATATATATATGTATATATATATATATATATATATATATATATATATATATATATATATATATATATATATATATATATATATATATATATATATATATATAAATTATATATATATTCATAAAATATATTTATAATTGCTCTGTTATTTTAAGAAATCTGCTACTAAGCTTAAACTCTTAGCTCAACAAGTAAACAAAAAATTATAAATCTTATTTGAAAAAAAACTCAGAGCTTAGCCGTACACTTGGGGAATTAACACTGAAAATTTTAGTTAGTTATCACAAGTATTTTAAAAGGTATGATGTTTTTAAAATGCCATTACATCTCTCCTCCCGCGACAAAACGCTTAATAAGTTAAAACCTGTCCACATTTTCACCATGTAAATATTTTTATCATTTGTAGAATTCAATTATACACTGCTTTAAATGGCAAGGGTGCATTTAATTTTTACAAATTTATGTCAATATTTTTCTATAATCCAAGCAAACATTTTTTAAACGGTTCATTGATGTTTTGCTGATTAATTACTTAGTGAACCATTAGTGGTTCTAGCCAATAACTTGCAAATATGTAATATAATATCTTGTCATCGGCTGCTATTGGCGGCTGCAAATAATGGTCCATTAACTGATAAACATAACTTCAGCAGACCGCTCAAAATATCTATATAGGTTCATTGAAATTTCATTGAAATTTTTTCTGGGTTTTAACATTGAAATATTTTCTGGGTTTAA